CTCTCTCTCTCTCTCTCTCTCTCTCTCTCTCTCACACACACACACACACACACACATATACATTCGTGCATGTGAGCATGCCACATTTGCTTGACTCACAATAATTTTGTGACTTAGAGCACCTCCTGCCTCCTATTAATGAGCACAGATCATGGTCTGCATTTTGAAAACCACTTCGTTTTGGGCCTGGGGCTGGCCCAACAGCACAGTGCTTGCCTAGCATGCTCATGGCCCTCAGTTTGAGCCCCAGAATCACCAAAGGAAAAATAAACCACACTCTTCAGTTTATGTAAGCAAATCAACCCAGACGTTGGCATAGTTGTTCCCCCAGAATAGAATTTAATGAGAACGCTTTGTTATTTTGCTTCTTTCTCTGGTTGTATCCACCTTTTTCTACCTCCAAATATCCCATCTGTTCCTTTCAATGCACTTATAACTCCCTCACCATTAGTTAAAAATACAAAACCTTTGTCCCTCCTCAGCACACCAAAAGATAAAATAGCTTAGCCATCTGACTAATGATATATTAAAAGCTTCAACTTGGTTCCCTGCCACATCTTTCTTACCTAATAAGGTGCTGTAAATTGGCCTGCTAAGTTCACGTCCTTCCTTCTGTCAGCCTCTCGGCTATTTGCTCACAGACACAAACCACTGCAGTGAGAACTCCCAGGTGAGACGCTTGTCTAGGGCCTCTCCTGCAATGTGTGAACTGTTAACACAGAATCGGCAGGCCAAGCCTTGAGAAAGGTTTTGTTAACCTTAGACCTGCGTGGCCCCTGTGTTGTCACATCGCACGGCACGGAATCATGTTGTGCTGAATGCCAGGATAGCCTACCTATGTCCTGCATGCTTGCTTACCATTTCTGCCATTAGCTCAGGCTTTCAGGCTTCCCACTAGGCTAAATTACCTGTGTTCTGACTATCTTATTTCCCACCCTATTTACTCATCCTGGCTGCTGGGCTAGTCAGCTTCTCATCACTGTGACAATGTACCTGAGACAAACAACTTAAGGGACAGAAGCTTTGTTTCTGGCTCAGTCCTCCAACCACCTGGCTGCATCACTTTGGCCATGATGTGAGGAGGAACATTATGGTGGAGAGTGGAGAGTGGAACAAAGTTGTTCTCATGGTATCTAGAAAGCAGAGCTGGAGAGAAGCAGGAGAGGGATTGAGGACAACATAGACCCTTTCAAAGCATGTGCTCAGTGACCGTCTTCCCTCACTTGGGCCTGCCCCCTAGATCCTCCCAACGATGCCTTCATGTTATGAATCCACAAGTGGATGGGCCCATTGCTCAGGTCAGAGCCCCATGATCAAACCACCTCAATGATAGATTCACCAGCTGGGGACTGAATTGTCAATGCATGAGCCTTTTGTGGAGGATACTTCATAACCAAACCACAAGAGAGGCCTCTGGTCTGAGCCTCCCACATTGTGTTCAGTTTGCAGCTACACACGTTCCTCTGACCTAAGATTCTGTGCGCTTCCACAGGTAGTCAGTGGCTGCTGAGGACGGACGAATCAGTGTCCAGGGACACGCCCCCTGACAGGGTATCCAGTCCCAAGGGGTCAGTCCTAAATACACAGGAGCAACACTAAGCGGACTCAGTAGGCTGAATGTGTGTGTGTGTGCATGTACACATGAATACATGTGTGAATAAAACAGTGAGCATCACAGAAGAGGTCATGAATTTGATAGTGGAGGATAAGGGAGGAATTGAAGGGGGAGGGGGAGAATGATGTAGATACAGTTTTCATGTATGAATTTTTAAAAACCATTAAATTAAGAAAGATTCTGTGCTCTAGACAACAGGACACAGGTCAACTGCTCACTGGGAAGAGCCTCTGGGACAATGGAATACCACTGTCCAGCTTCCTGTGCCTGCCCACACCTCTGGTGTGACTTTGGAGAATCTTCCCATGTCTGTGTGAGAGGATATACCTGCCCCATGGATGGGTATCCTTACCACTGGGCCCCTTCCCTAGGAAGCATGAACATCACCATGTGCTTTAGCACTCTGCTGCTACCACCCTCACAGCATCTACTACATCTCAGACCACCGAGAGTTATTTCTGAAACCGTGGGTGCTACCGACAGGAACCTATGGAGGCCTAAAAAGTGTAGCAAGTATTAGGCTTTGGGATATGGACCAGTAGCACAGATTAAGAGAACTCAGCAATGGAGGGGAAATGGATGGGCTTCATACTCATTCTCAAGGGGCTCAATGGTTCCACTCAGCTCTTCTCTCTTTGGATTTCTCCAAGGTTGGGAAAACCTCAAGTCCAGACTAGCTTACAATCCGAGGGGAGCTCCCAGACAGGATACCCCACTGTGCTCAGGAGATCTTCAGAGAGGACCTCCATCCCAGGACCCATTTCAAACCAAATCTAACCATCTTGGGTACAACCCTGAGATCAGAGACGAGGTGACCAACACGTACTTCGAGGGGCTCCTGAGACACAGGATTTTCAGTCCAAAGCTGGGTAAGTTCTGAGCGATCCTATGAAGTGATCACTCTTGCAGAGAGCATCATTATATACGCAGGAAGCTTAGGAGCAACCCTCCCACTCCCAGGGCTGTATCAGCTGCCAGGAGGTACATAACCTGAAACAGATGTGGAAGGCGTGTGTGATCACTCTGCATTCTGGTGCATGTTTCAATAAAATAATTAGGGTATCTTCTGCACATAGTTAGGATTCAATCAGTGACATTCTAAAATTAGTTTTAATTGATGGAATTTTATGTAATTATGACAACTATCTCTAAAATAAATGATTAACTGTTTCAATAAAAAAAGAAATGTTCCGAAAACAAACCCCTGTGGAATTATAAATATTCTCTGAGATATCTGGGCAATTAAAAGCTCCTTGAATCTTGCTTTTCCATTTTTTGCCAACAAAGGTTGCTTAGCAACCGTCAGCTGGATCTTCTCTCTCATCAGCTTCTTCTCCAACCTTTGCTCCTGCAGCCCAGAGGGAAGAAAGGCTGGTTGCTCTGTGATGGCCTCCCTTCTCAGTCACGAGCAGGGTGAGGGCTCTGAAATGTAAGAGACCCCATTGCCTGCACCCAGGTTCACACATCTAAAAGATACATTCCCGAAAGACAGTGAGTTTGGATGGGGCCTTAATTCAACAGTGAGAGGGTAAATATAGCACCTGCTCTACAGGAAAGTTGCTTAGGCGGCCAGGCGTGTGCAAGTCAAACAGCCATCCACCTACGAAGCTGCTAGGGGTGGTTCTGCTAACACCCGCTTTGTGCCATGGCTTATCTAGGTGTTACTTCCACTGGGCTTCTGGAGTTTGACTGGTCTGTGTGGTGGCCTGACTAAGAAAGGCCCCCAAAGGCTCCAATAGGTGTGGCCTCGTTGGGGTAGGTTTGCTCTTCTCAGAGGAAGGGTGTCACTGAGGGGCAGGCTTTGAGGTTTCTAAAGCCTGTGCCAGGCCCAGTCTCTCTTCCTCTTCCTTCTGCCTGAGATTCGGATGTAGAACTCTCAGCTCCTTCTCCAGCACCATGTCTGCTTGCATGCCGCCATGCTTCCCACCGTGATAATGGACTAAACCTCTGAAAATGTAAGCCAGCTCTGTTTTAAATGTCTTCTAAGAGTCTCCTGGGTCATGGTGTCTCTTCACAGCAACAGAACCATGACTAAGACAGTATGGCTCACAGAAACAGTTTTTTGGTGGAGTGGGGAGGGCAAGAAGGAATTAGGGAGGAAATAGAGGTCATGGAAGAGACCACAGTAAGAGCCTGTCTCAGAGTTTAGAGCCATATTCTAGACTTCTGGGGACTTCAGCAGTCAGACTAATCCATTTTCCTGTGGTGCCCTGTCTTCACAGAACTCCACTTCCTGCTGTTCCCCTAGTGTGGCGTTATGGGTCTCTTCCTGTCCCTGCCTTATGCCTTCTATCCTTACCCTCACCAGCCACCTCAGCTTATTCAAAATCAGAGCTGCTGGGCTACCTAACTGACTTGTTTGGGAACTGCTATCCAACTAAAGGACTTCCTCCACGTTTCTTTTAGCTTCAGTTCTACAAATATTTTAGGCACCTCTAGACCTTAAAGCCAAAGAACTACCTCGTCATTCTGGCAATATCACAGATCACTTGGTGCCCACTTTGACTTAAGAAACTGCTACCAAGGTGAAGGTGGTGATAGGGTTAAACTGTATCCCCCTCAACTGCTACCAAGATGAAGGTGGTGATAGGGTTAAGCTGCATCCCCCTCAACTGCTACCAAGATGAAGCTGGTGATAGGGTTAAACTGCATCCTCCTCCCCTGAAAGCATACACTTTAGAATAGGGCCTTAATTGAAACAGGGGACATTATAGAAATATTTAAGACTAAGTCAGTGCTAGCACAGGGCAGTCACCTAATCCAACACTGCTAATGTCATCAAACTGAAGAGAAACTGGGGCCTGGGGGTCAAGTAGAGTGGCTGACTTGTCTAGCATTTAGTAGCCCCTGGATTTGATCCCAGTGACACAGAGATGAAGGAATTGGGGCACTGGTGTACATAGAGGGAGAGAACTATGTGACAAGCCCAGAAAGGGATAGAAATCCATAAGTCAAGGAGGGATCCTAGAACAGTCCTTCTCTCAACCCCCTCAGAAGAAGCTGCCTTTCAACAGCTCAGTTTTGACCTCATGCAGAACTGTGAAGCACTAGTTTTCTGTTTATGGAACTGTTAGGACAGCCCTCGAAATTTAAGTAAACTTCGGTACCAAAAGTGGACCTCTACTCTAATATCCAAAATGTGTGAGGATTGCTTTGAAATTGGGTAGCATTGGAAGAGTTGAGATTTGGCATTAAAAAAGCATAAATGGCCTTGGAGAGACTTTGAAGCAGAAACATGAAGCTGGTCGTGTTGTCTGAACATGGTGTCTCAATCCCTCCTAGCAGAAAAACGGGGCAAAAACTTTCTCTTAGGGTTATACCCACAGTGAATTTCTGATAGAGAAATTTTACATGTTTTATATAGTTTAATCCTCACAGGAGCCTTGGACACCAGTTTTAGTCCACTCACCTTAATTTCTACTGTTAGTGGAAATGTGCACGTCGAGGAGGCTCTGGAGAAAGCCTGGGAGGAGGCGAGGAGGGCTGTAGAGAAAGCGGCTATTGTTTCAGAGAGTGTGTTGTGCACCATGAGCAGAATGTTACCAGAAATAGCCTTGTTAAAGGCGCTGTGGAGAAGTCTCAGAGAAGCGAGGCCCTGTGCTTGGGAACTGGAGAAAAGTGATCCTTGTTACAGTGACAGGACTTGGCTGACTTGCACTCTGGTCGACAGAAGCAGAGCTTGAAGCAAAGAATTTGGATACTTGCTTCCCGCGATTTCTAAGCCAAGTGTGGAAAGTACAGTCTGGTTTTTCTTTGTTGCTTGTGATAAAAATGTGAGAAGAGAAAAATAAATTGAAGACTCCCAAGGAAAAGGAAACCATCACTGCTTGGTTTCCATGATTCTCACCTTCTCCAGTGTTCTCTGGAAAGAGGACCAATGGCTAGCTCAGCCAGCGTGAGAGACAGAGGGCCGTCTCTCTCATGAAGTGTGAGTTGCACAGGAGACCATCATACTTTCTAGGGTACGCATACCAGCTGAAACACGGACATCCTGAACTTCAAGGGAGAGAGATGAGATGGAGAAAGGGCAGAGGCCAGTGGGGCTGCCAATGCTGCTGTGCAGCCGGGAGATACTGGCCCAGAGGTTGAGAGCCACCTCCTTTCTGAAAGCCGAGGGCGTGCCTGGGGTGAAGCTGAAACATGAAGCTGGTCGTGTTGTCTGAACATGGTGGATCAATCCCTCCTAGCAGAAAAATTGGGCAAAAACTTTCTCTTAGGGTTATACACACAGTGAATTTCTGATAGAGAAATTTTACATGTTTTATATAATTTAATCCTCACAGAAGCCTTGGACACCAGTTTTATTCCACTCACCTTAATGGCTTGGAGATTAAGCAAATTGCCTAAGATTTCATGACTGGAAAATGGAAAAATCAGGTTTTAAGACCATAGCTGATGTCAAGGTCTTTTGAGTTCAGAAGAAGATGGGACTGTGTAACAGCAACAAAGAATAAACAAAACTGGCCACACTCACTCGGAATAAAAACAATACACTTTACTTGCTACTCATATCACACAGCACGTGGGTATGGGTGTGTGTGTGCCTCAAGTCTGATGCACAAAACTACAGACCAAGCATCCAGTAGTCCTTCCAGTGTGGATGGGTTTTCAACCGTGTGTCTAGTCACCATAGACCTTTTGTTCTCTGAGCCTGTTACCTATAGCCAACTAGGGTCTGAAAATAATGAAGAGAAAATTGCATAAGTAAGTAATTCTTGTTTTGTATTTCACATCATTCTGAGTAGTAAGATGAGATTTCAAAATATCTTACTCTGTGCCATCCAAGACATAATTTATTCCCTTGTCCATTGTATCCAGGCTGTATATGTTACCTTTCTGTCAATTGTAGTAGCCTTTTAAATTGTCAACATGGCTTGAACACAGTTCTTGTGCTAAACAATCCCATTTTACTTAATAATTAAACCCCAAAAGTATTGGTACTGGGAATTCAGATGTGCCAAAGAGAAGCCACAAAGTACCTCCTTTAAATGAAAAAAATGACACCTCAATTTAATAAGGAAGAAAATCATAGATTACTAAGATATGAGGTATTTTTGTCTTAAGATATTTCACTACAGCATGTTACTTTTTCTATCTTAATATTTGTTATTGCTACTCTGTCTAATCTATAAATGAAAGTTTAACATGGTATTAGAGAAAGTATAGGATATTTGTATGCAGGGTCTAGTGACACCCATGATTTGAGAAATCCATTTGGGGTCTTGGAATATGTCCTCCAGATAGAGGGGAGGACGATGCATGGCACCTTTGTCTATGCTGATGTCCTTACTGATGTCTGTATTTTTGTATATGTGTGTTTTCAGAAGTTTGATGCATAAAGCTACAAGGCCAAGTGTGCAGTAGTCCTTCTAGAAAGGCTGATATGTCTGTGGGTCTGTCTGTCTTCACCTCTGTTTGTGTCTGTCCGTATTCACAGTCATTTCTATGTGTGCAGCTGTGGGTATAAAGCAAGGACAAGCTGCGTAGCCCTGGTGACCCTTTCCAACCCTTCAGTGCCCTGTTAACTACACGCTGTGCAACCTTTAGCAAAGGTGTCAGGGACACGTCTCTTCCACTGACTGTCAGGGTACAGATCCTGTGTCACAGTGAAGGTGTTTACCGTTCTTATACCATCTGCATTTGAAGCGGCTCCCTCCTCAGCTTCCTCCTCACAGCTGAGGCTTGAATGCTATTTTAGAGAATTCACAAATCTCTTGATCGCAATGATTTTTAAAATTCATTCTTTAAGCCTTCATTGCAAGCTGGAATTTAAGAAGATTTATTTTTTTAAATATATTCTGCAAATGCCAGCTGCAATTGCTTACTACCTAAGAGAAGTCTTTTCTCTATTTAAATGACACACCACTTTGTTGTCCTGTCCTTTTGGGCTTTTTATTCTAACATGCTCTGTGTTGCCCTGTGTGGAATAACAAGAAGAGCTTTATAGCCTCATGGCCTTTGGGTTAGAGGCAAATTCCTGGCCAATGCTCACATTTAATTATGTCTCTAGTACAACAGTGTCAGGATTTTATGACGAATTATCCTGACTTACTTCATTTTTTGCATACAGAAACAGGTCACACTTTATACACATCATGATCATTTCTATGTAAACTTCATTTAGATAAAAATGGGCCAAATTCTAGGAATTCAAGATCTAATTGTCTTGGATTTTTTTAATTGACTTTTACCTATTATTATTGTGCGTGATGTGCAGGCATGTTGGTGCCCTGGAGTACGTGAAGGTCAGAAGAAAATGTCGAGGAGCTGTTGCTGTCCTTTATCTTCGTCATGGGTCCCAGCCACCAGGCTTGCATGGCAAGCATGCACCTGCAGAGTCACTGGGCAGCACCGTTTCTGCTTTGTTTTATCTATTTTGTGAATAGCTGACAACCAGGCTCTCTTGTTTCTGCTGTCTTCCAGTGCCAGGCCACTTGTAGGTTTTTGAAAATCAACAGAGGCCCACCGTGAAGGATCCTCTGCAGGCCCCTTGTTCTAACAGAGACCATCTGACAGCTTTGTGAGGTCTCCATGGTTTTGCTTGTGCTCATCATGGATCTCTGCTGACCTATACAGCACTTGGCACATAGCGCATGCTAAATGAAAGACAAGAATTTAGAAGATAGCCCTAATTGTAAAAAGCTAGCAATACTGACAATATCATGAGTCTGGGTTAGAAAGTCAGTAATCCTAACAAATTCAACTCTGTTCAACTTACATCAGAAGAAAATATGTGTGGTGTGCTTATAATTATGCATGCTTCATGATCAAATTGATCCTGGTAGGAGAAGACTTCTGTTGGCCAAGTGTTGACCAACAGAATGGATCAGCTCACTCACTGTTGTACACATCTTCTACAGATGAAGATTTCTTCTAGTTCTGACTCTACACTTCACACTCTTCTTCCCCCACTGTCTACCTGCAAGTTCCGCGAACTAAGTGGACACTTTAACTCAAGGCATAGTCTCTTACGGTGCCGCTTTAGACCACGGACCACCCTTGTCTATGCTTTGACTTCAGACTTTGAGCTCCACAGCCTGGAAAGAACATCCTTCTGCTTTTTAAGCTGCTCAATTAGTGCCAATTAGTTGTGAGAACCCCCAGGTGCCTGCTATTCCCTTCCATTGTGCCCTTGACAATAAGCAAACTTTACATGGAACAGAGAACCATAAAAATACTGAGCTGATGGGCTGGAGAGACAGCTCAGCAGTTGAGAGTGTGTACTGCACTTGTAGAGGACCAGCATTTGGTTTCCAGTTCCCAGATCAGGTGGCTCACAACTGCCTGTAACTCCAGCTTTGGGGGAGCCAACATCTTGGCCTTTCATGGACACTGCACTCTGTGCACACCTCCACAAACACACACACACAAATAATAAAAATAAATATTAAAAAAATTAAATTATACCCCTTCCCAGCCCGTGAGGATTTATGCACAGGAAATGGTTGATGAGGGAGGGGCATTTTTTCACTGGTATAGCTACCGGTAAGGTGCACATTTGCCTATAAACACCCCTGCTCACATTTCTTTAAATAAGCTCAATCAAACTCATGGGGCCACGAAAAAACACATGAAAATGGAAGACCAAAAAAAGATGCAGAATGTAGAAGTAGAGGAGAAGAGTAGGAGGGAATACAACTGAAATCATGTATGCGGATGAAAGAGTCCTAAGAAAATCCACCGTTGTATGTAATTAATATACGCTATCAAAACACTTAAAGTTTGAATTCTAGCTTCTAATACACATGTGAAGCATAGCATTAAAGTGTCTTCAAGTGTCTGGAACTAATTTGGATTGTTAAAAGTACCTGGTGAAGTTGATCATCTTCAACAAGTAATTCCTTCCACATTTTATATATTAGAAACTTAATAGAAGCTACAAAATAAAGACATGATTTGTTTAATGGAAGTTCAATTTCAATTACACTTACACAATATCATACATGCATGCCATTTTATTGGGGGGGGTCAAGTTTCCTGACACTTCACCATTTCCTCTCACACACAGAACCTATGGTTTTAAAAGACTTAGTTTTTGATTAGTGTGTGTGTGTGTGTGTGTGTGTGTGTGTGTGTGTGTGTGTGAAAGAGTATGTACACACGAGTACAGGTGCCCACAGAAGCCAGAATAGGGGATCAGATCCTCGGAGCTGGAATGGCATATGATTGTGAGCTGTCCAATGTGGGTGCTGGGAACTGAACGCAAATCCTTTGCAGGAACAGTATACACCCTTAACCACTGAGCCACTTCTCCAGCCCTGCACCAGCATTTGTATACCCGTAGTTCATTCATACATTATTCACATGAGTTCAAAGCTCTTGGTATAACAATGCTTGTGTAACCATCTATTTCTGATTCATTACCAGAGTTGATGCCACCCATTCTCCAAAACAACACATTTCCTCCCAGGGATATACAGGGCTCTGAGAGCTGTGTTTATGCTTTCAAATTCCTCAGGTAGCAGTTAGCAATTTTCTGCATCAGGACACTAAGTGGAAATGCAGAATAATTACCAAAACCTACCAGATGTTTGCTGTTGGCATTTTTGGAGTGTATAAGCTAAATAAGCTAGCACCTTGATGAAACATCTGCACATTTTATCCAGAAAGCCTAAATTCATACAGATAATGTTACTGATTGTACTGAAAGATGATGTCAGTCATGCTAATGAGAATCTGGAACAAAGCGTGTTATTTTAGTTTAGAAATAGTTCTTTAAATCTACTATAATGTTATGTTTAAGTTTCCAATAGTATGAGAGTTCAGTACAATTTAGTTCAAGTAACACTTGGTGAACTTGAAGTGTGTGTTAGGCACAAGACTGTAGAAGCAGAGGATACAGTGGTAATTTAGAGTGCTCCCAGCAGTATAGGATAGCCACACAAATAATTCAACAGTCAGTTAAGTGCTATCTATAGAATATCCGCAGGATTTCAGAGGTGCCCAGCTGTCGGCTAAGTTAGTATATAACATCTGATGAGTTGAGTCTTACAAAATGTATGGAAGTTACCTACAGAAGGGCTTAGCAGGGCAGAATATCCATTCTCTCTCTCTCTCTCTCTCTCTCTCTCTCTCTCTCTCTCTCTCTCTCTCTCTCTCTCTCTCTCTCTCTCTCTCGGTGTGTGTGTGAGCCGGAGTGTGTGTGTAGAGATCAGAGGACAACTTTGTGAAGGAGAATCAGTCCCTCCTGCCTTTATATGGCTTTCAGGGATTGAACTCAGGTCAAAAGCTTGGTGGCAATAACCTTTATGGCTAAGCATTTCACAAGCTCAACTCAATCTTTAGAGACTTTCCAAATAAATGTTGTTTTAGTTCAGGTTTGGATTTACAGAATTATTGTAAAGATGGTATCACAACCAATTTTTCCTACTATGAAGTTTCAGTAATATGAGATTTTTCAAAAATAACGAACAAACATTGGTTGTTATTAAGTCCATATTTTACTCACATTTCCTCACTTTCTCCCTAATATCCTTTTACTGTTCCGGGATCCCAAAAGGGAGCATCCCTCAGACACCTCTGACGGACAGTTTCTCAGCCCTTGCTTTGGAAACTTTTAGCATTTCAAGGGGCTGCTCAGGTGCGCTGTTGGATTTGTCTTGGGTTTGTGATGATGACTCTGGGGTTACAGACTTGGGAGAGGGGCCACAGACATGAAGTACCATTTTCATCCTGTCATATGAAAGGTCCCCACTGTTAACATAACATGGCACCTGGCTTGTAGCAATTCTCTTCTGGTTTTTGCCCTATAAGCTTGTCCCATCCAAGCTCATCAGGCTGCTCCTTAGAAGGCAGCAGTCTGTGTGAACAACCTCCATCTAAAGAGTGAGTTTTGCCCCATCTCAAGCATCCCGTGTCTGAATAAATCATTTGTAATGCTTCTGTTCAAAATTATTTATCTACTTTTCCACATTTACTTATCTGTTCCATCATGTGTTTATGTGAATGCAGACTTACAGATATTTATTTTACAGTCTTTGAGTTATAATTCAACACACTCAGCTGTTCAGATTTTTCCCTCTTAGCCAAGCAGCACTTTCCCAATCAATTGCTGCGACACTCTGACATCTCTGCCTCACCACAGGTTCTGTTTTAAACACTTCATAATTTCTAGCACTGTGAGGTGTTCTTAGCCCATCTCCTGGTTCTGTCCTACAAGCAAGGAGCTCTCCAAAGAGAGCCAGCTTGTTTAATTGAAGGATTCTATTGGGAGACGATATCTGGACACAACGTGTGTTTGTTGTTGTTGAGGCTCCTTTAAGCCCTTTCAGCTGACAGGGCTTAGATGTACATGTACATAGTCTCTTGGGGTCTGTACTTCCTCATACACAAGTATATGTATTTCCATCCACTTCTACACATGATCGTGTCCATCCATTAAGTCCAAACTGCTGTCTCAGCTTCTTCTTGCTTTGTTATTTAACTCCAGTGTACAGTAGAGGGGCTTTACCTCTAACCTTGCAGGAAAGAGCCTCAGCAGCTTCAGTACTGTTTATGTGTGATTTATTTAGTCTCTAGCTTTGCAGAATCTACTTGTTTCTTTAGTTTCTTAGATCAGGACTCCTCCGCACCACTGCTCCATTATTTTGCAACATTCCATATTCCATTCTAGGATCCTCCCACTTTATTTTTTAAGATTTAGTTTTCAATTTAAATTACTTTTTGAGGATTTCATACATGAACACTGCATTTAGATCATTTCCACATCTCCCTTTCTCCCTCCAACTCCTCTTGTTCCCCTCACTCCCTCTCAAATGCAGGACTTCTTTGTCGATAATTATTTGTGTTATATATATATATATATATACATATATATATATATATATAACAGTAATAGTTATAGACAATAGATATATGCATATGTGTGTATTATGTAACAATAATAGTTATAGACAATACATATACTGCCTAAACAAGACTGGTATAATGACACCGGTTGACACTCTTGCCTTGTTCAGAACATCACACACCTGAAAGCATACAACACAAAGCTTCTTTAGACTGATATCTGTCACTCACTCGAGATAGTCATTAGAGACTGATTGTAGCTCATCCCTTTTAATCATCAGGAAGTGTTGCACTGAGTGGCTATGCTGGAGCTCATTTACCCATTCACCTCTTGGAAGACCTTGTTTCTGTTTCCAGAATTTTTTTTATTATAAAAATGCTGCTGTAAGCAAGAATACATGGGCTTTTGTCTAGACATGTTTTAAATTAGTTGGGTAAATACCTCATAGCAAGGTCACTGGATGGTGCGCTCAGTCCTATTTTATTCTTATGGGAACAGCCTTGCAAAGCTTTTATGTGCTCTGTATTCCAGCCATGAAAGCCTCCTGCAGCCTGTCTGCCTGCCGGCAGCTGGTGTGTCTTAGGGTTTCCACAGTTGTAAGAGGTGTGCAGTGGTCACTGCTACACGTCAGTGCCCTTGTGACAAACGAGGCTGAGCCTCTTTTCATGCATGTATTCGCTGTTGTGTGTCTTCTCTGGGGACACCACTGCGCATTTGTTTTGCTATTTTCGAATTGAATCATCTGATATTTTATTCTCAAATCCATCACAGTCACAAAGGCAAGCAAATTTTCTCCTATTTCTAAGACATTCTAAATTTTAGACTTTTACATTTATGTCTACGATTGATTTTTACTCAGTGTTTCTGTTGCACAGATTTCTGCTCAGGCTCCTTTTTCTGACTATTGGAAAACAAGTCTTTCTTCATGGTATCTTTGCTGACTTGTCAGAGGTCAGCTAACAAAGTTGATAAAAAATCTACCTCTGAGCTTTCTACTGTGTTTTAACAACTCATATGAGTGGTTTTTTTAAACTGATATCATTCCTAAACACTTACAAATAAATTTATCAAAATAGACTTACAATTTAACCATTAAATACTTCCAGATAGTCTGAAAAATACTTAAGGGAAAAGACATCCCATAGTTATGGGCCAGTGTTGTGATCTGAGTGAAAATGACTCCCACAGGCTCATATGTTTAGATGCTGAGTCACCAGGGAGTAGAACTGTTTGAGAGGGTTAAAAGGATCAGGAGCTGTGGCCTTGTAGGAAGTTATTACTGGGGTGGACTTTGAGGTTTCAAAAGCCCAAACCAGGTCCAGTCTCTCTCCCTTTTTCTCTCTCTCTCTCTCTGTCTCTGGATCAGGATGTAGAACTCTCAGCTACTTCTCCAGCACCATGCCTGCCTGCATGCCACCACGCTCTCTGTCATAATAATGGACTAAACCTCTGAAACTGTCAGAAAGTTGCCTTGGTCATGGTATCTCTTCACAGCAATAGAACAATAACTAAGATAACCAGTGACTACAATATTGGCTTATATCACTATTTTTCTATAGTTGCTCTTAGATTTGATGCATTCTAATAAAAGACCCCAGTGTGATTTTCTGGGAAAAGTGACAAGGATATTCTAAAATTTATAACAAAAATGTTAAGAACTTAACAGTATCCTGATAAATTAATCAACACAGTGCTATTTGAGGATAAGAAGGGAATTGGGAGTTCATAAGTAAACTCTTGCATTTATTATTATTGATTTTCAACAAGATGCCAAGGTCACCAAACAAAGAAATAAGAGGATTTTAAAATACAAATATGAAAAACAATGACATCAGATTCCTACCTCATAGTAAATTAAACAACCTGAAAATGTTGTAGACCTACGTGAAAGAGCTTTAAGATGAAACTAAGAGGTCAATATGAGTAAGCCTCCATACCTCAGGTTATGAGATGGATTCTTACACATGGCACCACAACCACAAGTATCAACAAAACACCTAACTGAAGTTGATCAAGATTAAAAATGTTCATTTTTCAAATGTTACAATCAAGACAGTCAAAGGAGACTAGGGAGATGGCTCAGTGGCTCAGTGGGTAAG